AGTAGTAGTAGTAGTAGTAGTAGTAGTAGTAGTAGTAGTAGTAGTAGTAGTAGTAGTAGGAATAGTAAAAATAGTAGTTGTAGAATAGTATTATTGGTAATTTAATAATAAAAAAGTCAAAGTAGTAGAAATAGTAGTGATGATGATAATAATAATAATATAATAATAATAATAATAATAATAATAATAATAGTAGGAATAGTGTTAGCAGTGGTAATAACAATAAGAGTAATGGTAATAATCATAATAAGGACAATAATTAAAATATTAATCATAATCATAATAGTAATAATAATAATAATAACAATAGAAGTAATAGCAGGATAAATAATAATAAAAATAATATTAGTAATAGTAATAATAATAGTAGTAGTAGTAGTAATAATAGCAATAATAATATAATATAATGTAATATAATATAATATAATATGAAAATGTTTACAGGATAAATACAACTTTTTCTTCATCTTGTATGGAGGCTTGTTAATTTTCATTTTAATAAATCGGTTTTTCTTAATTCAGTTTTTCTGTATTCATTCCTTATATTTTTATACCGGTTAGCATATACGATCATCAAACAAGAAATCGAAATGATTGATGTGTATTTATCATTTCTTCTCGATAGATATTCGCAATTTGCATAACGGGCATATATCAGTCGTATTATAGTATATTTTCTGAACACAATGTTTTTACACATGACGTTAGGAAACTTATGGTATTTTAATCCGGTCACAATGTGTTTCAAAGAATTTAATTTAAAAATTAAATGATTTTTAAAATGATTATTTTTATATAATATTTCTATATAATTTACATTTGAATAAAAAAATAACAAAAAGTAAGTTTTAAATTTTTGATGATTTTAATTTTTTTTAATATAAAAAAGTAAAATGATAAGTTTTTATTTCTTTTAAATAAATTTATGAAGATATATAATAATTAATAAAAGATATATAAAGACCTTTAATGATATATCAAAAACAAAGTTATATATTTCATTCATTATGATTGATATAAGAGAAATTATTTGAAACACAAATCTCGTGATCGGTTCTTATGCTATTTATGTATACAACTTTGTTGTTTGCTAATTGGCATAAATACTCTACATTTTGCGACAATTGTTGAGTGGACAAATTTCTCCAGGGTACAAAAACTATAAGAAACGTATACATTACGAATGGAAAAATATGAAAATATTTTGTAACGTATTCTCTGTGTAAAAAGTTTTTATATGAAAAATTAATTGGCGCGTTTAAAATCAATCTATTGCTATATAATATGAATTTCACTTTCTAACAAAAGATTTTTTAATTTTTTTTATTATTCGACATATATTTTTCTTTGATCAATTTCTTTTTTTTCCGAATAATCAACCACCACTCTTCCGAGTATTTTTAAGATTAATAATTAATAAAATTGTATTTAAAACATTTTCTCTTTCTTTTTTGAATGGATTTTAAATATAAATTTTATGTAATAATTATTTTGTTTGCAAGTAACTTCTAAATTTATTAATAAATGATACGATAGAATTAATCATTTTTCTATCAAAGTAACTAGAAATAATTTAAATCTTAATTTTTTATTAAAAATCAATAATTGTTAGATGAGAAAATGCTTCGATAATATATTCAAAAAAATCGTATTGTACTCAAAAGTCAATTTCTTTTTAAATTTTTCTTTGCTTCTTTTTAAAGAAAAAAAAAAAATTAAAAAAATAATGTGTTTTATAATACAATTTTTCATGCTATGATTTTATTAAAAATGAATTTTTTCTATATTAAAATATATAAATAAAAAAAAATAAAGAAGCAGGACTAATGAACACAATACGTAATATCGAAAATTCGGAAGAGGGCATGCGTGAGTTTATCACACATTTTGTCTATATTTATAGAGCGTACTGATTTTTGCCGTTCAACAAAATCATCCAAATGTCAGAATTTGTCATAAAAAATCATGATCAAATCTAACAAACAATGTTTTCTGTTTGAAAAATTATTCTCTCTTTTTTTTTTTATCTTTCATTCCCTCTCTCTCATACTCTTTTATTTTCTTTTTTCATTCTCTCTTTCTCACACTCTTTTTATAAAGTTATATAGTTATTTTATAAAGTTATGAGAAATATCATTACGGCAAATGTTTTTCATTAATAAAAATTTGAATAATTTCATGGTTGTTAGTAATTATAATTTTAGATCGAATTTACACAATTGCGTTTGTCATTTCTCATTTATTCTACTTAAAACAAAACTTCGTTATATTTTTTAAAATTAACATAACATAAGCAATGATCGTCATATATTAGGGCGAAGTAAAAATACTAATATATAAGTTTTTCATTACTCGAAAGTTTAGAAATCTATGAATTCGAACGAATGTTGTTTTGCGAGTCATTACATCTATTAGTAAATCTTCACATTGCAAATATTTAAAAAATGCAGAATTCTAAACAGCTTATCTAAAGCAATTCTCGTCAAACATTCTATTCTCATTCATAATTCGTATAATGAAAAATAAAGATAAATTAATACAAATTTGAAATTTTTTTTGAGGTACATAGCAAAACTTTTTCTCTAGAAAACAATGCGTAAAAATATTCTTAATGTTTTCACATTTTAATTGTTGAAGTCATGTAAATTATAATATTACAAATGAAAAAATTCCCCTTTTCCCCACAATAAGCGTTATTAAAAACAGAATATTAAAAATTTGATTAATCAATGCTAAAATTATGTCATCGTATGCTTCGAATAATCCAATAAAAAGCTGACATCATATTGCATACAATAAAATATTTATATTTATCATTGAATTTATATTTCATTTATATAAAATAATACAAAACGGTCAATAAAATATCATAAAATAATTTTAAAAATTAATCTGTTTTATGTATACGCACAACAAAGAATAGAAACATGCAAATTATCTCAAGAATTATTTGTTGCAATATATGTTATTAATAAGTATCGAAAATGTACATTATTCATCGTGTTTCATTCATATTATCTTACCATTATTGACACAATTTATTTATGTTTATTAATATTTCGCATTCTGGCATTGAGAAATTTATGTATTTAAGTTTTATACTCTAGAATCAAATATAAAAAAGATGCGAAAAATTTATTAGAAGAATTATTGATCGATATATAATTATCGAAACTTGAAAAAAAAAAATGCCAGAAAACGGTTATAAACTTATGCCGAAGATATATTAATATAATATAAATAACATTATAATTACCAAAGTGAAACGGCAAAAATCAATTACGACTGCCATTAGAAACATATGTATGAGTACGCGCGTATCATTTATTATAAAGTATCTAGGTTTTTGTATGATTATATCAATCTTGATCAATCTTACGTGTATACTGCCTTTTAACTTTCTTATTACTGTCTTCTGTATAAATATGTATTGTTGTTAAATCATGCAAACCTCGTTTGTTTAAAGTTCTTTATCAGTAACAAACTGACGTTTGCAACGTCCTCTTTTCTATTCATCAAAGTAAATAAAAGAGTCGAGTTTACAATGTCAGTGTCCTCCTCTTTCACACTTAAAAGCTAAATTCTAAAGCTGCACTCTTATCATTTATCTATATATATTGTACAAATAACTAGCATTTGACGCGACTGTTTGCTAGCAATTACTTGCTAAACTGTTTACATTCGTGACATTGTGTATAAAACTCTATTGGAGTATATGCTTACACTGGTAATTCTTATTTTTTCTTTTGTTAATGCATTTTTAATAATAGTAATTATCACTTTTTCGCTCTCTAGGCCACACAATTTGGGTGCCAAAATTTGTTAACGACGTTTGCACGCGACTAAAGCATTTGGAGTGTTTGCAGAATCGGGCAGGACCCGAGAGGCCAGCTGGGTTCATCCTCACTAGACCATGTTTGTCTGTCCGTGCTCATAAGCAAAATATCATAAGCTTCTGTGCCGGACGTAGTATATCCGTGCCCAATGTAAGACCAGTCGGCTTCTTAAGAGATACATAAATAAAAAAAAAACTAAGAAGGGAAAGAAAAAATAATGGAAAAAAAAAGAAGCTTCCCTTATGTTTTCCTTTGCATTCCTTCGTATATTTTTTAATTTAATTTGTTCATCTTTGTTCTTTTTTTCTTTCTTCTTTTAAAAGAGCCGCTCATATATAAAGCTTATTTTTTTTATAAACGAGCAGAGAAATTGTCAAACGACTAATTAACTTCTGTCTTTTAAATGTTTTTTTTTTTTTTTTTTTTTTTTAAGCTTTTAAATTGAAGCAATTCTTACTAATTATTATAGCATTTTTTCAACACGTTTATGCAATAATATTAATATAATTGTTTTTATTTCACAATGTTTTTTGTGGATAACAAAACGATGAAATGCAAAGCAATGCAACGGGGAAGGACTTTTCCTATTTCCCGTTCTCATTTCCCTCCTTTTTTTTTTCTTTTCATAAACAGTACAACAGGTTTTGTGGTATCATCATGAACTTTGTATATACAGTATATATAATCACCTAATATATATTTTTGACGGTACCGCTATCGTGACGACAATACGTATCGACCGTCGTCGCAGTTCTTTTTATTTCTTTTCGTTTCAGTGAATAGCAACTGGACTCTGCTGGACGCATACTCCAACCATAGGACTGTCTTCTCTTTCCGGATCTCTTTGTTTACCGGTTGAGACTGTCGACGGTTGTCTGACTATTCCGTGCGTATCAGTCGTTGAATAACTATAATTGTAAAAGTTCTGCTGCTGAATCATTGGTGAGGTCATCATCGCAGGCAGATGGGATATACCAGGGAGAATTAGGCTATTATACGATCCAAGAGAGCTTTGTATCAGGGAACTGTCTACAGATTGCATGGACATCGGCCCGGATGCAGACACCCCAGTGGCTGAAGTTGACGAATAATTTGTTGTTATGACACGTCGATTCCCTAAATGACGAGGCGATGAATCGCACTCCATAGGCTGATAGCCACCAGGGAGACTTGATATTTGCATCGGATTGCCACTGTTGTTACTTCCCTGTCCTGACATGGTTACCAGTCCTAGGACATTAAAAAAATATAATCTTAGATCGACAAACAATGTAAAATTATTTTCACACTAATGCAAAAATCATCCAATTTACTAGCTCTTACAATAGAACGTCACTATGAGAAAATTGAAATAAATAAAAAAGATTTCAAAATACTACGAAGATACATTCCAGGCACTGAATTTAATTTGATTTTATTATTATATATACTAGTTATTTATCGATATTAAAGCAATAATTAATTCTATATCTTTATCTTTGAATAATTGAAAAAATAAAAAATTTGAAATTGATTGCAATATTATTAATCTAATTATTAATATAATTATTAATAAAATATAAAATATATTTTATCAAAATTATAATTGATATAATTTAAATCGAAAGACGATTTCTAAGAGTTGTATTTTTTATGAATCTATAATATAAATCTATTATAATTTTAATTTATATAAATAAGAGTTATGTAAATATATGATAATTAGTTAAGAATAATCTTAATTAAAATTAAAAATATTATAAAATACTATATATCTATTAAAATAGACATAAAAATATGCTTTTTATATTTTAAAATAACCAATTATTGTAAAATAAATAATTGAAATAAGCAAATAACAAATAATTAATATAAATTTTAAGTAACATAATATACAAAATCTAATTATAAATTCTAAACCAGACTAACATACATATTCTGGTTTTAAAATATTATATAATAGTAAAAATAAATATAATACATAAAAATTTATTATAGTATTGTTTCAATATTTGTTTATAAATTTAAATTTCTTATGAATAAAAAATTTATTACAATTTTCGAAATTATATTTATAAATAATATAATTTATTTAATAAAGCTTAATTATATTTGAGTAAATATTTTATGATTATTAATATATGAATTATATTTTAAACATGATAAGTTTTCTTATTATTTTTTACTAATGTTATAAAATTTAAAGGATAATTTTAATAATAAATTGATAAAAACTTGTAAAATACATATATAAACATAAAATAAATCAAAAGTGATTAAATTTTGTATTTTGCATTCATTATTAAATGCGATCAATTAAAAAATAATTTTCTATATTACTCTTTAAAATCGTCTTATTCTACATTTTAAAATTCGTTTCCAAATGTTTATTTTCTTGTGCGTATAAAATTACAATTATAATTTATGATTTATCTTTCAATAAATATTCAGATATTCATCTTAAAAAAGGAATATGTAAGAGAAGAAGAAAAAATTTTAGATTAAAAAAACTAACTTTAGATTAAAAAAACTAAAACTTAAAGTGATGGATATGCAGATATGTAAATTAATGGAATATTTATAATCTTAGATTACTGAAACGATGAAATTTAATATTTCTCACATTATATAACGAAGATGCACTTCTGAACGTGCTATATGCAGGCAATTAAAGCATGCATAAAATAAATTCCAAGACAATAAAAAAATCTACAGAATAAAAACTTAAAACAGATATGCAATTCAATTACTTTTAATAGGAATATGTTCTTTGCAATGAAATAATTAATAAAAGTCATAAATTGAAATAAAATTTAATATATGTTATGCATATAATTATTATTTATTTTTGATTTCTTATAATTATGGATATAAATTATAAAGAATATATTCCCATGATACTATTTAATTTTCATTGTTTTTAAATTCTAATATATTTTATATTGACAAAGGCATTCTTAAGTAATTAGAATAATAATTTTACAATAAATATAATTTATAAGAATATACTGAATATATATCAAAATATTGAAACACGGGCCATCAATATGAATCCGTGTATCACTTAAAAGAAAAAAAATTAAAAGTACTAATTCTTTTGTTTAAGCAAGCAAGGCGTCGTATGTTACATCCGAGGTCAGGATATGATTATTAGGGACAATGTTAGTCTTTTAGCTTGTAGGATTGTTTGTTAGACAGAACTTACTTATGTTAGTAAGTAAGATTAGGGTTGGGGCCTAGGACAGGTCGTCGCCGCCCCGCGGATACGACAGTCATCGAGCCACGTATTGTCCCCCCATCATATCTACGGGCAACAACAAGTATTGTTTAGTTTGCGCAGAAAATAAAAAATATCAATCTTTTATTTATTTTATATATTATAAAATGATTTTTTCTATTATTATATAAGCTGATTAACTTGCTCTATTACAAAATAATCGTGTCATAAAATATTTTATTTTCTGCACAAATTAAAACCTGCCTAAATCTTCAATACAATGCCAAACAATTTCTTAAAAATTCACAACAAGAGTCATTGTATTTCTTTAATTCATTAATTTTTATATATAATGTTTCTAAATCATCATAAAAGCTTAAATTTGATTGAATATTAAATCATGAATTAAAAAATAAATATTTTGTTGCCTTAATTAGATTTTATATATTTTATATTAAAAAATAAAATTTAGCTGTATAAGAAAAATATTGCTATATCATCATATTATCATATAAGAAGCAAGTGAAAATAATTATTGATATTTCTGGAATTCATTTAGTTTTCTCAAATACAAGATTATAAAAAATTTCATGTATATTGAAATAATAAACCACAAAATTACAAATTTAAAAAAATAATTATGTGAGATTGCTAACTGTGTATTTATTAAAGTTGTGTACTTGTTAAGCGATACATAGCATAATTTTTGAAAATCTATCTTTTATACACACAGAGCGCTTATTTGCATAAATTTCATAATTATTATACATCTTAGATTATAAAGAATACGTGCGTTTCTTTGATAAATATTATTTTAGAAATAAAAAATATATAAGACTATTTAAAATTGATATAAAAAAAAATTAAATTATCTATCTAATATTTCTTGTGTGCTGTTAAATATATAATATATTTATATAATATAAACTGTTTTACCGAAATATTAAACCAATGTAGCACAACTTAATCAATGTTTAAAAATCTTATCTATGAAAATAAAATAATGTATTATACAGAGTGATTAAATTGAATATCTAAATTATTTCTATTACTATTAAAAATAAAAAACAATAAAAAAAAGAATTTAAATGATTTCAAGACATTTAATAAAAAATTTAATAAAAAAAAATTTATAAAGATATTTTATTTTTATCAATTATGGATAATGGATATAATATATGTATGACATACATACATATTTTAAAAGGCAAAATCATCGATTTTTTATTGAAATGAAAATGATGAAAAATTTAAAGAATTTCTATCTGAAATTTTACATTTTGGATGATATTTTAAAAATATTATCATATTATAAATAATACTATAAGAATATAAAATGTAATAAATATATATTAAATACAATATTAAATATATTTATTTAACAGATGGATAAAACTTGGTATAAATATTACTTGATCAGTTGGACAAAACCTGATTTATCACTGAATTAATAAATTATTTTTTATGGTTTAAAATCTATTAACTTCAAATAATGTTAAATAATATGAAAGAATGAATTTTATGAAATGCTATAAAAAATAAGATTGCAGAAATATATTAATGCGAAAAGCTAGTACTAGAAGAATATATTAATATAAAATTAATGTAATAATAAAAAAAAAATGTTGATGATTTTGAAAAAAATCTTCAATGTGAATTTCAGATGCACATTTTGAAATTATTTAAACTTTATTTTATAATTTTTTCTTTTAACAGTAACGGAAATAATTTAAATGTATAATTTAACGTTCGGTATAATAATACGTTCTATATATAAATTGTTCAAATTAAAATTAACAGTAATAGAAAAAATCCCAAATTAAAAAGGAGAATATTTTTATTTTGTCACGTGTGTAAAATGATCCATTAAGCAAAAAATGATGCTTTATATATTATGAAATCTTTAATAACTTACCATGATCTTGGCTCATCGATACTACTGCTGGGCTCGTGTTAGCACTATTGGCAGCAGCAATATTCGTGTTGGTCCCCTCATCGGCTGTTCGCTTAAAGAAATTGTGCTGAAGTGCATAATATGGCGTCACTCTTGTTTTCGGATCAAAATCCAGCATTCGCAGAATCAAGTCTTTAAATTTGAGGTAATCAGAAATTGAATGACCAGGTTCACCTATCCTTCTACCACCAGGGCCTCCGTTTTCGACACCTAAGATATCATGTAAGCGTCTCGTACCAGGAGGTTTGTACTTTTTACCATCCTTTGACTTTTTCAGCACATACGAGCCATCCGTGGGGACTTTGTCAAAGTATTTCCGCGCCTTGTGCGCTTGGTCCAATATATGTTTCGGTGGCATTCCTAATACTTCTACGATTTTATTCATTTGATCGACCTATAAAATAGAAAAATATATAAATAATATTTATTTTTTAATAACAACTATATAGCAATGTATTATTCAAAATGTTAATATATTCAAATCATTTTTAAAAAATTAATTCTAGAAAGCAAAACAACGATTAATATAAAAAGTCACTTAAAATTTAAATTAGTATTTATTATAATTAATTAATAATTTAAGTTTATATTAAATAAAGCGAGATGAGAACAAATATTAGATATAAAAGTTATTGTTTCTGTCTTGCTTTGCCTAACATAAACTTAATAATAATTTATAACTTAATAAATAAGCTTTAATCTTTTTACATTAACTTTGGTATTTCTTCTTTAAAATCGATTTTTTAAAAAGATTAAAAAATCCCAATATATTAATACTTTATATATATAATATAATATATATAACTTATATATATATATATATAATATATCATATTTTTTATATATATCATAAATTTGTAATTGAACATGATTTGATATATAATATTTAATTATATAATAAAATTTTGAATACATTAAATGGAATATATAATATATAAAATAAATTAATTAAAATATTAAATAATTTTATTATATTACATTATATAAAAATACAAATTTTTAATATAATTTAATATTTATTACCTCGTTGGCCCCACTGAATAAAGGTTCTCCTGTATGCATTTCAACTAAAATACATCCTAGACTCCACATGTCTATCGCAAGATCATAAGGTATTCCTAATAAGACTTCAGGAGATCGATAAAACCTGGATTGAATATACTGATATATCTGTAAATAAAATTAATAATTAGCTTCAAAATTATATTATCAATTATCAAACTATAATATTACTTACTCTTTGTCCAAGTTGACACGAACTACCAAAATCTACTATTTTTATCGCACTTCGTTTGGGATTGCACAAAAGTATGTTTTCAGGTTTCAGATCACAGTGAATGATGTTCAATTCCGGTGTAGACAGGAACAAAAGGGCAGTACACAGTTGCTGTGCAAACTTCCTTGTTAAATTCAATGACACTCCTCGAAAATTTGTATTTCTAAGTAGATCATACAGATTATATGATAACAGTTCGAATACCAGACATAAATGATTTCGCCACATAAAATGCCTTTTTAGTTTAACTGTAATTAAAAAGTTTAATTTAATTTAATACAATATTAATAATTTTACATAAATAGTATATTATATTCAAGATGATTCAAATAACTGCAATGGATTATAATTTTAAAAATTAAAAAAAATAGAAAAATGGAGAAAAATTTTATATTGTTTAGCAAGTTCCATTATCCTATTATGTAATTTTTTCAGATATATCAATATAATTAGAAGGTTTAATTATATGAATATTTTTAAATTGAATTTCATGATCTTTTAGGAATAAATATATATATGACTATATATGACTATATCAAATCATTTTTTTTATTAAATAGTTCCATTAAATAATTTTTCATTATCTATGTATTATGAAAAGATATAATAACAACATATAGTATTATTCATAAATTAATGTTTTTATTTAATATTTTTTTATTAGTTATTAATTATAATTTTTTATTAGTTTTTATTAATTATAGTTTTTATTAATTATAATTATTTCTATTATTTTCTAAACTTGATATAATTCTTTTTTTTTATTAACAAAAATCATTAAGAAGATATATTTAAGAATAAATCAATATATTTCTTGAAATTAAATGAATATTGACTGAAAATTATTTATATTATAAATATATGTAATGTAATTATGTATATAAGATCAAGAAATATAATTGTAATAAGAATATAATTGTATTAATAAATATGATAGTAATTTGATTTTCATTTCATAGTTATTTATTTAATTATCATTTTAATATTTATCTGGTTTTATAATATTCAATAGATATTTATAGATTTTAATATGCTGAAAATTTTAATATGAATTTTTAGTCTTGTTTTTTCCATAGTTTTTGAAAAAATCAATTTTAAAAGAATTTATTAGTGCTTTGTGCTTTTATAATAATATTTATTCAATTCCTGTTGATTCTGGAAATGATTCTGTAAATGATATAAATAGTTTAATTATAAATATTTAAATATGTTTAAATAATAATTAAATTTGAAAAAATACTCAAAACATCTATCTATCTATATCTATTTTTGCTAATTTTTAATATATTATAATTATTTCATAAATTAAGGATTTAGAAAAATTTCTAATCATATTACATGATAGAACTTTCTATTAAGAAAAATATCAAGACAAAACTATAAAATCATTTTTATTTCCTTTAATATAAAAGTAAAATAATTTGATAAAACATTCAATCAAACAATCAAACAATGTTACAATAATGATGATCATTTTGTCACATATGTATTGGAATCGTGATCATTATATTACTTATCATTATATATATACTATTATATACTATTATACATATATTATTATCACAACATTTTATCAAACTATTTTGCTTCTATATTGGAAACAAAAATGACTTTATAACTTTCCTTAATGTTTTTCTTAGCAGAAAATTCTCTTTTATTACATAATATAATTAAATATTTTAAAATTAGTTTACGAAATATATGAACTTATAATATGAACTTAAAATACCAGCAGAAATGAATTTGTTTTTGATATTCTTTTAACTTGATCATTTTTTAAATATATTCAGATTTTTTAAATTTATTTATTTATTCAAAAAGATCTATAAAATTATATTCTTTGTATCAAGAATAATAACTATTATTGTAAAGTATAAAAATATAAAACTTGTTAAAAATTGTTTTCAAAAACTATAGATTTTGAAAGAAAATAGTTTTTATATTAAGAACATTAAAATCTATAAGAAATGTCTATTGAAGGTTACAAAATAAGAAAAAAATAAAATTTGTTACAATGTTACTATTATTGAATATAATATATTAAAAAAATATATAATATATACTAAAAATATACTAACAAATATATAAAATAGTAACGAAATAACGTTTAAATATATATTGTAAATTTTCAAAAAATGCAAAATACTTTTAGAAATATTGAATATTCAATAATTTTAATTCATATTTCTTATATATAAAAACTAACTTATTCAAAAAAGATCTTAAACTTCTATTTAAAAAGAAATATAATTACACTTCATATTGTATTATACAATAGAATAATAAAATTTGTTAAACATTGCAAAAATTTTTTTTATACACTTTATTTTATCTTTATTTGAAATTAAGTTATAATCTATTTCAGTTATTAAATATTCATTTTATATGTACAAAAAATATTATAATGTATAATGTATTTGGTATAATAATAAAATATAATAATAATAAATAACCAACCTATATAATATTTGTTGTCGGTATCCGCCCTGTTCATCATTTCTAATAGCCTCACTTCGATTTGCGCTTGATTTAGAAAAGGTTTTTTGTTCTTGATAATTTTTATTGCCACTTGCGTTTGTTCTTCATGATCAAACGCTTTTACTACTTGGCCAAAACTACCTTTACCTATAAATATAAATACTTAATGTTTTAAATTGTGATCATTGTATCTATATTATTATTTATAAAGATATTATGTATATATATTAAAAAAATTATATTTAAGTTTTTTAATTAAATTGAATAATTAAAACTTAAATATTCATATTAAGTATATTTAAGAAGAATATTTTTATTAAAAATAATACTGGAAATAAAATAGAAGAAAACGTACCTTATTAATATAATATAAAAACAGATATTTAATAAGATAAATATTTAAAAAATGGTTAAAATCATTAATATTTAAAATTTATAATGTTATTTATTTCTATATTACAATAAAATAATTATGTAAATATTAGTTTATGTAAATAAACTTTTCCTTTTCTTTCGTCTTTTCTAAGAAGATTTTTATTTCTAAATAAATCTATACAATTTCTATATATTATTATTCTATACATATTTCTTTGAAAAAATTTTTTTCTGAATTTATCATTAAAGAGAACTGTTACATTTATAATATAAACATCAAAAGATATAATTGAATAAGAGAATCAAAAATAATCGCTTTAAAACTAACATCTTTTATTGAATTTATTTGATAATTCATAATTATTTAATATTTGATAAATTAGATAGAAGTTATAGAAAAAAAAATTGTATTACAAGTTAGAAGATAGTTACAAAATTTGAATTATTTATAACTATTTATTTTTACATTTCGAAATTTATTCAGACTTATCTTTTTTTTTATATAAATTAATTAAATACTTTCTCAATTTTAAATAAATAAATAATATTTTTTTTATTATTTTTTAAAAATTTATTATTTACTTTTTGATATATATTAAATCACTAAATATATAATATATCAAATAATATTATAGAAGATAATATTATAGAAGATTGTAATATAATATAATATGATATAATATAATATAATATAATATAATATAATATAATAATAATAATATAAAAATATTCAAAATTACATTTGTATTAATTTTGGATTACAAATATTTTTAAAATAATTTTTAAGTATTAAAAAAAAATAATAAAAATATACAATAAATATAAAAAAAAAGATAAGTCTATTTTTTCTTATATTTATCATAAATCAATTTATGGTTTATTATCAATATATGGTAATTTATATATTTATATAATTATATATTTATATAATATTTATCAATCAATAAATTAATAAAATATACGATATTTTATAAATTTAAAGAATAATTCAACAAAAATAAATAATATATAATATTTTTATTATATATAGCTTTTTTACCTATTAGCGAATCGATCTCATAACGATCGAGGAACTTTTCCCCATTTTTGATAATATAATCATGATTATCGTCATCCCAACCATCGTTGTACAATTTTCTTTCTTTTTTATGGGAACCATCTTCTCCTTGCATCTGTTGCGCCCTCCTTTTTTTCTTAGCATAATAAACCTATGAAAAAAAGAATAAATTAATAAAGCAAAAAATTACTGAAAAATACTGAAGTTTATAAGATATTGTATTACACTAAATTTTTAAGAAATTTCAAAAATATAAAAGAATTATTCTATGAAAATTTGATTATGAACAGAATCAAAACGTATTACATGTATTATTTTCATACGAATTTAAACAGTATCACATATTTAATAATGTTCAATGTATTTAAACATTATAACATAATATATGTTATAATATAATTATAACATATTTTATACATGTATTTATTTTATTCTTTAATTATATTTTATATAATATTTATTACATTAATTATATTATATAATATTTATTACATTAATATTTATTACATTATTACATTTTTCAATTTTTTCATTTAATATTACTTAATATTCAATTTTTTTAAAGATAAAATGAATATTATTATTAAAATTATATAAAATATAAAAAACTATATAAAACTATATATAATAAAATAAATATTTAATAAATTTAGAAGATAAAAATCTAATATGAGAATATAAAAATTGAAACATAATTTCAAATAAAAATAACATAAGTTATTAAAAAAATTAATTCAAAAATTAAATTCATTTTTTATTACGATTTTTATTTATTGATTTAATAGATTACGTTTAATATTTCATATTATATTGATATATATTTATGAATAGCATAAAATTTACGTTATATCATCATTATATTCAATTATATTCTATGTAAAATAAAAAGAATAATAATTATGAAATATTTTATAAAAAAAATAATATTTGGTAAATGAATTAACAAATAAATATATTAAATAAATAAATATAATAAATAAATAAATAAATATATTTAATTTATAATAAATTAAATATTATAGTATATATATATAGAAGTATATATAACATTATTATTATATAGTATACCATAATTCGAAATTTATGATATAAATGAAGTCAAGAAAATTCTATAATTCAAAATAAAATGAAAATTAACAATAATGAAATTGTATGTATATTTCATTTTCGAATAAATCAAATTTGAAAAATTTTCAAATACAAATAAAATTATGTAATTCTTAATTGAATATGAACTATTAATAGATGATTATTCTACATTTGTACAATATATTCTACATTATTTTATAAAAATAAAAAATACAGAATAAAATTTTATCTAATAAATAAAATCGTTTAAGTTTTTGTTTTTTGAGAAAATCAAAATTAATGAGTTTTTTTTAAATTCAATTTCTTTCAATTCAATTTCTTTAAAAACTAATTTTTAAATAAAAAAATATATTTTTTGTTTATTTTCATATATTATTTAAAATAACTTTCTATCTAATAATTCATTCATATCTTAGAAAGAATTAGCTAACTTTATTTGTATTTTGAAAAATTTTTACTCTTGATTTATTCGAAAATGGACTTTCTCGTTATTCTTCTTGATTTTCGTTTTATTTCGAATCATAAATTATGGATTAATCTATATAATATAACTATATTTAACAGCAATTGATTATTTAGTTTTAAATTAAATTATTATTATTTAACAGCAATTGATTATTTAGTTTTATATATAATGAAAAAAAAAGAAACAATGTACACTAATTAATTTACAATAATTTGGAATGTCTGTATATTTTTTATAATAGTATAAAATAAATTAAAAAAAAAATTTGACTCAAAAATATAATAATCTTTAATATAAAAAATGTATATTTCATAAATTTAAATTTGATTGGAAATATTTATTATTATATATTATTAATAAATTCTTATAATTTTATTATAATATACTGTAATATATTATTAATAATAAGATTCTTATAATTTTTAGAGAATTGATTCTAAATAATTTAAGTTTGCGTTAAATAAAATAAAACGCAAGTATAGTATAACAGAGACAAATCATTTTAACTGTTTCATTTTGTCTAACGTAAACTTCAATTATTTGTTTATAAATAAATAAACTTAATAAATAAACAATAATAAACTTAATAAATAAACGATATTTTTATATATTAATTTTTATATTTGTTTTGATTTTTATTTGATTTTCTAAAAATATTCTATAAATATATAAATATATTATAAAATTATATATAGGATATTACATTTAGACATAAATGATGAATTATCTCGTAAAGGAACAAAAAATATTTTTCAAAAAAATATTTCTACAAAAGTTATTTAATTAAATATTTTTCCATTCATAATATTTTTCTATTATATTAAAATGGCTTATTATATCATATCATAAAATAATCGAAATTGAGTATATTGATATATGTCAGGTATGATTGAATGTTTCGTCGTTTAAAATAGTGTAACTGTATTATTTTCTTGTGTCAGACTGATTTGAATTTATAATTTAAATTTATAATAAAAAACGTATTTAAAAAATATCGACCATATCATATGATTAGCTTCAACCTATTAATTGATAAATTGTATATTTAATCTCTAAATTTTTGAAGATTTTATATATTTTTGGAATTCCAAAAATATATAAAGTCTTCCAAAATTTGGAGATTGAAGTTAGTCAAATACAACGTGATCATTTTTTTAAATTGTTTTAATATAAAATATCAATGAGATAATAATATGAAATTATATATGAATGCTACAAGGAATATATATTTGTATAAAACATTAAATATATATATACTCATAAAATAATTTATTACGAACATAAAACTCAATTTTTATTATGTAATATAAAAGTAACATAAATATTTCATAGAATAATATATATATATATATAATAATGCAAATATAACATTGTAAATATATGCATGAATCTCATATAAAAAATTAATTCAATTGTACATTACAAACTTTAATTTCAAGATGTTTCATACTTAATATGTAATGTGATTTCTTTTATTTTATTTTACTGCTTGGAAATTTTGCTGCTTATATTTATGCTTATGAATAAAATAATGTTTCAATTCATGAAATTTTTGAATGATCACATATATAATAGTCATTTTGATAATTATATATACTGTGTGTAAAAAGTAATTATACAATAATTAATTTCAAAAACATTGTAGAATTTTATTTATTAATATAATTAAAAAAAAAAATAATTATGTATTCTTTAGTAATCTACAAAATAATTTATAAAAAGAAATTATGATATTTATATTTATTGTTAAAACAAGCATAAAATAAAGCAATATTTTAAAAATGATAAAAATATGTGCGTAATAAATATTCATATAGTTATATTTTATTAAATATATAATATTATAGTTTGAAGATTTAAAAAAGGCAAAAATTTATTCAAAATATTATAAAAAGAAGATACGAAAATACATGGGATTATTTATGAATTATGAAAATATTCCCGAGTAATAATAGTATAAAAAAAATATAAAAAATTAGTTATTTTGTGTGTTATTGAATGTAGTTATTTTACTATTTCTTCATTAGAAACTTGTAAAAAAGAACTTTAAAAATAATTGCAATAAAAATTGTTAAAATATTTAAAAATAATTTTTTCATTAAAAAATTCACTATATTATAAGTTATTTTCTTATAAGATCAAATATATCGTAGTAAAATAATTTACAAAAAATATTATATACTATACTATTATAGTATAATATTATATAGTAAATAGTACAAATAAATCAATTTAATAAAAATTGTCAATATTTACGTCGGTGAATTGCAAGATAGATTTTCTTCGAATTTTTCTTTAGAATCTATCATTATGTCAATGATGTTTAATTTTTTTTTCTATTTTTTTATTTTATTTGATATATATTTTTAATTTTTCTGTTTTTTGAATATATATCAAATTGTAACATTATTTTTATTTATAATTTATATGATTTCATAATTTATCTTGATTATAATGAAAAATATTTCTATTTTTAATGCGATTTTTTTTCTAAATATATTCAAGATATATAAATCATGAAACAATATTATAAAGTTTAATTAAAATTATTAAAAATTAAAAATTTAATTAAAAATCCTTGAAGTTTTTTATAAATGTCATTACATGTTTATTTTTCATTACTTATTTTATTTTATAAAATATTGTTTTTTTTCATATCTATAGAAACAGTAATGAAAATGGATTATTAATATATTTGTTTTAAGAATTATAAAAAAATAATATAAAATAAAATTAATAGATGATTTTCACTATTAACTATATACTGAATTCAAATGCTTTTCTTAAAATTTAAAACTTTGAATTTGAACGTAACAAAATAGAAATTGTTTATATTGTTAACTTATATATATATGAAATATATTATATATATATATATATAATATCAAATAAATTATAGCATGAATTATAATTTTAATTTCAATTACTATTTTTCATTGAAAATTATTTATTTATTTATATAAATATTAAATAAAAATTTTATATTTTAATTATAATATTATTTCATATAATATTTGAAGCAAATTTAATAAATATTTTGATAAATAATATTTATCAAAATATTTATTATTTTTAGTCTCTGAAATGTTAATAAAAATTTTCAATATTATACATAGCTATATATTATTAAATATATTAATTGCTATTATATATATTATTATTTTATTATATATATATATATATATTATTAATATATTAATTGCTGATGTAAATGTTATTAATGCAACAGTTCACACAGTAGTCGTCAATGAGTATCGAATAATGGATAATATCTAGTTATATCAATCTCATATCTAGATTGTTTCATAATCCATTTCTACAATTAAAAAGTTCTGATCAGTCATTTTCAAGAAATTAAATATATTTAAGTTATCAAATACTAAATATAACATTAAATATGAGCGAGAAGAAAAAATCAATTTGTAAATAAAAACAAATGGCGTGCAATAGTAAAAATTAATAAATGTTTTGGTAATACTTCGAATAGAAACAATTGTATTGAATAGAATTAGATTAGAATTTAAAGACGGTCCCAGTAAAGGGATCATTAATATTTACAATTTTTCATGGAAACAGCTGAAGATTTTATATATATATTTTATTATATATTTAGGAATAGCTTAAATTGAGATCGACACTACAAAACGATTATATTGGTTATGTTTTTATAGAAAAAATTTAATGTATAATATTGAAAGTTTATTATTAATATCTTAAAAAATAATAAATTATTTTTATTTCATTAAATTCATTTTTTAAATACTTTTATTTCTATATTTATTTTCTCGCTATTTATTAAATGAAATTTATTTATAGCTATATAAATATAATTATAAATATAATAAATATAAATATAATTTTTTAGAAATTATATATTCAATCATTTATATAATCAATATTCAATCATTTATATTTATATATATAATAATATATATATTTATTTATATTATATATATATTATATTTATATATATTTATATATATTTTATATATATATATTCAATCATTTATATTTTAATATTCAATTCAATATATCAACTTAATATATTATGAATAAATATAAATAAAAATTTAAGAAGAGAAAAGATAAATTAATAATTCTATAAAGAGAATAGTAATGAATATATAATTATTTTTATAAAATAAAAATGGTAATAATTTAAAATAGGAAGCTTCTTATTGATTTTAATAATTTTTTGGATTTTATGTAGAAGTTATTTTAAATAATTTCTTTGCATATAACTACCATTCAACTTTACTTTTTAATTATATTTATAAAAAAAATTGCTAGCATTATATAGAATTTTTTTTATATATCCGTAACTGCATATGTATAAGCATATAATTGCGAGTATCGAATTTATTTTTTATTAGTTTCTATTAGTTCTAAATACATAATAGTAGTAACTAAAACCTACAAAGAGTAAGCTTTGTCCATGGATTTATAATGGATTTAAAATGTTTCAAATCCAATTTCAAACTTAGATTAGATTTGATTAAGTAAATTTCACGAATCTTTAAAATAAAATATAAAACAATCTTTGGGCAAAATTATAAAGATTGAAATTATAATAATGATTAAATTAAAAATGATAAAGTTATAAACATCAAAAATGATTTTGATATTTGATGGCGTGTATATTGATATTTATAACTTTGATCATTGTAATTTTACTTTTATATAATTTTTTTATTTTACATTGTTTTATTATTTTATTTTTGCATTCTGCGGATTCGGCATTGGATTTCTGACATTTTAAATCCAACATAATTTATCAATAAATAAATTTTTGATGCTCTTTGATGATCCATTATACATTTTGCCTGCTGTATTTTTATAAAAATTTTATAAAAATAATAGATACATGATAAACAGTTATGGATTACATATGTATATGTGTATATACATTTTATATATATATATATATGTATAAAAAAATTTTTATGAATAATAATAATCTTTTTTTGCATCTCAAAAATTAAAACCGAGCGGTGATAACATGGAATAAAAAAAATTATTAAAAATTTCCTTTACCATATATTCAAAACAAAATCATTGAAAATCCCCTTATTCTGAATAATTATCAAATAAGTACACCAGAATTCAATTTATTTGAACATATTAAAAGATAAATAGTTCAAATTTGTAAAAAAAATTAAATTAAAATTTTGTTTCAATAAATGGAGTTCTATTGTATAATCAAAATAATAGATAATTTATAAAATAAAAAGAATCTTTCACCTCGTTGATGTGCTTGTAAGTTTTGATGAGATCTACACTAAGTTTCCTAAGAGGTGCTGTGGCTGGATCACGAAACCTATGGGGTATCCTGGCTTGCATGGCGTGTATATCCGCGGGGGTTTCTTGTGGGACCCCACCGGTACCGCCACCAGTACCGGTACCCCCACATACTGTGGGAGGTAATGGCTCCTCAGCTACTAGACGACCGTAAAGAGGCGCACCACCGCCTCCACCACCACCTCCACCTGCACCCGTTCTTCCGCTTACTGAAAATCAAACATTATCAAATTAAAAGAAATTATTATTATACCTGTTAATAAAAGATTTCACTTATTTGCTTTTTCAATGTATATATATATATTATTTATTCTAGATTTGATCACATTGCTTTAGTTAACAGAAAATATTTTAATCGTTTAATTTATTAATTAATTAAATAATTTTGCAAATCGTTCATTAAATGATAAATTCCAATATTTATGAATTAAATTATAATTGTATAAAAAAAAAGAATATGAAACTGATTATTGATGATTATGATTCGGATATATAAATGAAGAAAAAATATAATTATATTTTTGTTAAAAAATAGGATTAAATTTTTATAGATATATTCATTATTAATTATCTGAGTATCTCTTTCTCTTAGGATTAAATTTTGAAATTTAATTAAAATTATTAAATTTAATCTTTTAATAATTATATAATAAAAAGAGATAGAAGTTCACATATAAGTAATTTAATCACGGTATACACAATACGTATATTTAAGACGCTACGGTGCATATGATTGAGAATCCAACGAGGTCATGAAGACTGACACAGGTCGTCACGATAACCAGCACGCATTCCGTTTCATTCATGTTTCTTGATATAGACTTTCATCCATATAACATTCTCTAAAATTGTCCTAGAGAATATTTGTAAATATGCACATTCTAATCTTATTGAAGCAACTACTATTAATCCGAATTTAAAGTTATTTTTTAAAATTATATCTATTATATATAAATTATATCTTCGATTATATTATAATTTTCTTAAATTATTTTATAAAATATTTATCTAATATTAAATATAAAAAAATATAAAAATCATTAAATACAAAAAAAAATATTATTGTCAAAAATTTAATTAGTTTAATTTATATTAATTTAATAAAAATAATAAAATAATAATAATTTACATAAATATAAGAAAAATGTACAAAAACTTTAAATAATAATATTGATCAATATTTTACAATAGGGAAGATAAATATATTTTAATTCAATAATTATAATTTATGCTTATGATTTATTTAAATTTTATTATTTTAATATTTGTTTAATTTATTTATAATATTATAATTATTTTATTACAGATATCTATTTGTCAATATATTATTAAAATTTTAATTATACTTTTTTGTTTCATCTATTCAACAAATTTTAAATTATTTAATTCGATTTATATGGTATTAGTATAGTAATTTATTATATTAATAGATACAAATTTTTTAAATATATAAATAAAAATAATATTGACTTATAAAAATAATATTGAATATTTATAAACATATACATATAAATATTTTTATTGCATGTTCTATTTGCTATTTTATTGTAAAAAATTTAAAATTTTTATTGATTTTTAATTTTTTATTTTAAATTTCGCATGAAATTTTAAATAATGATTAAATTTTTTTAATCATTAACACTATGTTTACGAATATTCCTTATATATCTCAAATTAATACATATGTGTAGAAGTATATATATTACTTAGAAATTTTCGAAATTAGAAGAAAATAAATTCGGATATATATTTGTCTTGTCAATTGAGTAAAAGTCAATATAAGTATAAAAGAGAAATGTAAATTGTGAGTTTCTATAATTTTCCTTATAAAATTTGAAATACGTCAAAATGATATATCCTCTAAATTTAATGTTAAATGTGAAAAATGAATTAACTATTACGTGAATATTCGAAAAAATTTTTTTAAGAATATGAAAATAATACGAGAATATGAAAAAAAACATGATTTTATATGAAAAAAAATTTAAGAAAATACAAAATTTTTAAGCAAGGATTTTATTCTTAAAAAATGAATTTTAAAAATATGATACATATTTTGTCAGTTTTTTAATTAGATAATATATATATATATATATATATTTAATATATATTCAAAATTACATACTTAAAAATCATTCAAAGAAATATAAAAAATATAAGAAATATATTATATTTAAATATAATATTTAAAAAAGAAGAATATATCATTGTATTTTAAATTTAAAAAATTATTTAAATAAATGATTTCTTAGATAGCAATAAATATGAAAATATTATTACATAAATATTTAAGAAAAATATATATATAATAAAGAAAATAATTTATGTACATTTATATAAATAATATTTCAATATATCGTAAATATCTGCTCTTTTCTTAAAATCGTTTAAAAAATAATAATGATGATGATAATAATAATAATAATAATAATTACATTGAAAATGTTTGTATAAATAAATGTATTCAATTTAAATGTTTCTATTTAAATATTTCAAAAAATATAAAAAATATGAAAAAGTAATTCAATAGAAGATATATGTAATATATTCTATATTTTCTATTCTAATATTTATATGCTAATATTTATTAAATCTTAAGTTGATTTTGAAAAGCTATATCAAAACTAAAATATTTAATGAAATTTTATATTGTTATATATTTTTATATATCGATATTTTTTCACACATTACGCATACATTTTTTATCGAACTCCAAAATTGTTATGTAGCTGGTATTAATATGAGAATATTATAAAAACTTCGATCAAATTGTATTATATTTCAGGAATTTGTACTAAGGAAATTATACAAGGGCAAAAAAAGTTTGCTTGCTTCTTTCTCGAAAAAATAAATTATATATAAAAATTATAATCGCATGTAGAATAATTGCAATAGCAATGTTTAAAAAAAAATATTAAAAATATATATTATAATACTATATAATACTATATAAATATATAGTATAATATTAAAAATATATTTTTGAGAATGGAACAATACATTTTTTTCAATAAGTTATATGTTATATATTATTGTTTGCATTTTTTTCAATAGTTTTCATAATGAGGAGAAACGATATTTAAAAAGTCGTTTAGAATATATCCTGCTATGAAATGAAAATGTCTCATAGTAGATTGTTTTACACATATATACAATTGACTCTTTCTAGAATAACTATAATGTACAAAGTCCGATCAAGCAACCTCTTCGATATATATCGTATGTGGTATATATCGAGTAATGTCGGTAGTATGTCAACTTTAACCTTTTACACTTTGATTCATGCTAAATACATGTGTAGCTAATATTTTGAAAACAACTAGTATTTTCTATATTAGTATAATAAGAATATGCAATAAAAAATATATAGATACATTTAAAAATTCGAGTATTATTTTTACAAAGTTTTTCAGTTTCATCTTAAAATCAAATAAATATTAATAATAATTAATGATATTAAAATATCAATAATAGCAAATATTAACAGAACATGTGCCACCTAATAGTATAATTATCATTTGAATCATTTTTTTATATCTTTCATATTTTTCGGGATATTTAAATATATTTAAATCGAACACATTATAAGTAAAATAATAATAATAGAGTAATAAATAAAATTTGTTTTATTATTAAATATTAAAAATATATATTTTTATTTTACATATTTTTGCATCTTTTCAATTTTTTATATATTTCGTATATATTCAATCTTTATCGCGTTCATCATCGTTTTATTTTTGGCAGAATTTAGTGATTTAATGATTATTAATAAAAAAAAATTTAATTTAAAAATTTAAAAATATGCTGCATTTATAATATATACATATCGTATACGATATACGTATCGATATGTATACGATATGTATATATTATAAACGCATTGAACATAAATTTATAAATAAGACTAAAACTAATAAAATATAGTATTACGAAAATTTATTATAAAAAAAATTTTGAAGAATCAGCATGTTGAAGGATTATTTAAAAATTGCACACATTATTGAAATTATATATATATATATATATATATATATATCTAAAAAATCATATGATGTGAAAAGCATTTTTCTTAGTATATTTTTCTAGTATATAAATTAATTTTATCAAAAATATCAATTATAACCAATAACATAATAGTAACTTAAATTATAATAAGTAATATTAATTACAAATTATAATAAGTGATTGTGCACAATATATATTTCTTATTCATATATTTTATTTATTTCGACAAATTATATTTAAAGTAATACCTGTCATGATTTGTCAAATTAAAACATTGAATATATATATATATATATATATATATATATATATATATATATATTTCTTATATATTTTTAACTTATAGAATATTTTATAATTTCATATATATTTTTTCAAATGATTTTAATAAAAACTTTAGATATTTCATAACATATTTTTTTATTTCATTAATTTATATGTTCATATATTCATATGTTTTTATCAATTTATTTTTGAAATAGATAAAAATTGCTAAAATGACAAATCAAATATTTACATAATATCTGCGATTACATTTCGATGCATCTCATTTCCTACTCCTTGCTATTTTTATTTTTATCTTAAATTTTATATAAATATTTTTAAATTTTTCATTTACTAAAATTTTTTTTTATTTATTACTTATTATATTTAAACATATTTTTATTAAATATATATATGTATATTTTACACATATATACATATATATCTACATAAATAATGAAACATATTGCTTTTATTGCATTTAATGTCATTCAAATTTTTGACCTATCTTTGTTTTTCATTATTATAAAATATAAATAAGTTTATAATGATAATAAGAAAAATATAAATCTAATATTTATATATTTAATTTCTTCACTTTTACTAAAATATTTCTAAAAATTTGTATTATAAATATTTCTTTGTCAAAATGAAAATAATATTGAAATATAATTTTTATTTTAATTATAACAAATACAAGATAAAAAACATAAGCTTATTTCATATTTGATATTTATTTTTTATTTTTTATTTAAAATTTTTTATTATTTCATTAATATTTAAATTTTATTGTAATTATTATTGTTTTTAATAACAAATAAATAGATAATAAATGCTTATATATTATAAATTTTTCTTTTAAATATAGTCATTTTAATAAATCATTGATAATTAAGTAGATTATTATGTTAAATTAAAACAAAAAAGAAATAATAAA